CTTTTTTGTACTTTGTTTGTTAAAAGTAATGTGCAAAAGACAAAATCAGAATGGAAATGGGGGAAGAACGCAAGTGCAGAGGAGGCAAATCTCAGGAAGGAAGCGGCTTAAATAGCAGAAATAAAATTCTTATTAAACCCCTACTGGAGGTTACTCCTAAGCTGTTACAGTTAAGAACGGCTGCCTATCACAGGTTAGTTTCTTGTGAAATGCATTTTGACAAATTTAGAACAATTAATGAAATGAAAGAAAGAGGAAATTTTAGAGCTCGCATGCTGGAAAAGCTATGTTAATCTCTCATTTCTCTTTAAGTTTAGAAAAATTAACTTTAAGTATTATGAATATCAAAAATATGAAATTGTAGCTGAACTATATACAGTGAGAAGGAGCACAATATTTGTATAAAAGCCCTCAACACAGACCTGAGGAATGAAAAAAATAACCTAACATTTCAAAATAAGTAAAACACAAGTAAAAAGACCTGATATTTCAGACAGTTATGGAAGTAACATATAATGTGTCTTTCCTGCTCACCACACACACACACACACACACACACACACACACACACACACACACACACAAAACCGTTAATTTTTCAAACACTTTGATATAACTTTTAATTTGCAGCTGCACCACAGGAAATCACCCAGCAAAATCTAAACTCAGAATATTTAAGTCTCTTGAGTAAAACAGATTACAAAGAGGCTAAATAAAATGTTAAGAAAGAAAAAGACACAGAGAAAGAAACAAAAATGGGAAAATGCTAGACTAAAGAAACTCCAGACATTCATCAACCAACCAGCGAAAATAACCGAATGTGTTTGGGTGTTGATTCAAACACACTGTAATCAATATTTGTGTGATGGCAACTGGAACTTAGAATATTTACTGGATATTGGATAATATTAAGCAATTATTTACAGTGTAATAAAAATAGCACTTATCTCTTTTGGGGTCATGCTAAAATTTTATCTGGCTCATTCCACTTTAATATTGGAGGGGCAGTTAAAAGACGATATTAACACAGAAAAATTTTTTTATGTGCTGGTAATTTTTAAAACTGTTTATGACTATGTTAGAAATACTTTAAAAATAACACAAATCATAAAAGCAAAGAATACAAATAAAGTAAAGAGAAAAGGCAGTTTATTGATTTTGAATGAGTACAAAATTGATTTCTTCCCATATGCTGAATGATTTTAAAGGATGAAAGTCTTACATTTAAAAGTATATTTTAAAAATATTGATTCCGTTTTGCTTTGTTTTCCCCTTCATTTGTGTTCAAAGATATGAATTCATCACCTTCTATTGGGAAAGTTATGTGATGTAAAGAATGTCAGTTATAAAAATAAATTATTCAAATAATCACTCTGAATCTTTCCTATTTTACTTGGTGTCTTCCACGTTAGAGAAAGAGCCTTAGACTCAGAATCTGGAATCATCGTCTATTTTCTCGGTATGTGAGTAGTTGAAGTCATTTAACATCTCTGAATCTTTTACCTCATCTGTAAAATAGGGATGAAAATAGTTGCTTTCTTCATCTTACAAATATGCTTAATACATATTTTTTACTTTGTGATGGATAATTCACATCAAGATTTAATTATGTCTAGTAGAAGAAGTGGATATGTGGTACAAACAGTATAGTTCTAGGGGATACATGGAACAGCTAGAACCTGCAAATAACTAAAATTAGACTGGATAATTAACTGGAAAAGGTTATAAAGGGAGTAGAAAGCAAAAGAATTGCAGGGTTCATTTCAAACTGACACATTTATAACTTTTTAAATAGAATTGATATTGAAGGACATGAAATTCATTAGTAGAGCTAAAAATAACAAGTAAAATAGGATATAAATATAAATAATATAATGCAAAATATTTAATATTAATCTAATATTTACTTAAATAATATTAATACAGTTTAGGTTCAGAATTAATGTTAAAATTACTATTCAAACTGATATAATTTTGGTAGTTTTGAACAAATTACGTTAAGTTACAATCTGTCATAGTGTTTACCACAGTACTTCACTATAATTGCGTCAGTAAAACACAGACCTATGTTTTCAGTCAGATTATAGTACATGTAGTATAATCATCAAACCTACAAATTATTCAGTAGAACAAACAAAATATCCAACATATAATCTCTTCAGGATTTCATAAATTTTACTTTATTATTTTTGTTTCACAAATACATATATTTGTTTCAACGTTTTAATATTCAGAATTAGAGATAATCCATAAATCTAAAATAACTAAATTTAGATATTTAAGCAGCATTTAAAATAAAAATTATAATGACATGGTAATATTTAAATGAAATAATCAGGTTAAAATATGAAGTTGACAAATCTGAATATAAGGCATTTTCAGAAAGGAGATCTTTAAAAATAAGGAGTAGGTGAGAATTAAAATAGAAGACTGTAAAAGTCTCATAATCATCACATTTTAAAACCTAAAATGAAGATAGTATTGCCATTTAGTCCCTTAAATAAAATAAAAATAAATACAACTTCCACTTTTCTATAGAAAATTGGGAGGTTTTATAATTTAGATCTGAATGTATAAAATTACAGAAAATCAAATGTTTATCAAAGGTTTTCTGACTAAGATATGTGGTGTTTTTCTTGCTTACATATTCATTGACTTCTGTAACCTTAATTACCCTTATAATTTATCAATGTGGAGATTCCACCCTATTTCTTATTCATAGTTACTTAGACAAGATAACTTTTCCTATTTGAGAAATAAGTTGCCAACATAAACCCTTTCTTTTGATTTGACTTTCTTTTTCTACCAATGATAAAATTTTAAAAAGAGAGATGAAAAATATCTTTTCTGTACTATTTCTTAAACAAAAGTGCTTCAGTTTGTCATTAAAAAAATAAATGTTTGATTTAATCATTAAGCAGGTAATGTTACCTTCATGAGTTTCTTTTCCTCTGCTGGAAGGTGGAAGCAACTCTGAAACGTGAGTTCTGAAGGAAGCTAGAAAGCTATTCTGTCTGAATAAAACATCAGTGAGCATCTTTGGCAGCTCATGTTTAGGAAAACCTTCTTTTCTTTGATTATTTTTCGATAGTTCACAATTCTACCAGTGAAGCAATCTCCACTCTCTAGTTCCAATGACTGATACAAGCTTTGTTACACACATTTGTCCTAGTGTACTCAAGCCTACAATTAAAAAGTGGAATTGAAGAATACATCAGAGGAGAAATTACAGCCAGCACTTGTTTTCTAGCAGGTAGAGTCAAAACATGACTACATTTCAGATTTCCTAAAATCCTATCCTAAATTAGAATGTTTTTAAATGTCAAAGGTTCACTCAAATGTTTTCCCAATTACACCATTTTTAACATACCTTCACTAATACTCTTTAATTAGATATGGAGAATTCTTTGAAGATCAGCAATAAAGCATTAAATTAAAGGAAGCAAAAAACTTTTGAAGTTTTGCACATATCTTTCATCTTATCTACTATCTCTCATTGCTAGATCTATGCTTCTGAGTACAAGAAAATGTTTTTGTTCATTAGCAAGGAGTTGTTCTTTAATAAGTACTAATGATTCTTCTTTGGAACTAATAGGAAATCCTGAATATATGAACTTATGGACAGTAAAAATTAGTAATACTCATGCTAACATCAAAGTAATGGTATTGTTTAATATAGTAATTAAGCAAATTGTAAACAAATTGGCATTCTAGTTATTACTTCATCAAGATAATTTTGTAAAGTAAGAACAACTCAACTTCATGTGTATTTAACAACTTTAAGTGAGGTAACTTTTACATATAAGTAATTTTTTCAATAATATTAATATATCTAGATCTATCTACATTTATATACATTTGTGGAGAGATATAGATATAAACACTTTTTCAATCAATGAGGATATTTAAATGGTTAAATGTAGAAAATAATTGCTCAAAATAAAGATTTAAGAATGTACTAATTAATAAATTTTAATTAAACAAAGCATAATTTATTTAGAACCAGGCATTGCTTAGAGCATAAAAGAAAAAATAAATATTAATATGTAGCTTGAAAATAAAATGTTTCATTGCTAAAAAAGATAGAGAGAAAAATATTTGTAGTTAAAAATTAAAATAGATAATTAAAAAAATGACACATAGACACATATGTAGAGAGATTGGTGAGTATCTAGAGATGTAAATGTAGATATTTATAGAAATATAGATAAATAAAAATATAAGTGTGTAATAGAAAGAGTTGTATAGCTAGTCACACATATACAGATGCTTTCATCCTATAAGGATCCTATTCCACTATTTTTAAACAGCTTTGTTGAGACATATATTTACATTTTAATTTCATATACAGAAATTTATATGCTGTACAATTTCTGTATCTAAAGTACACATCAGTGGTTGGCAGTATATTCATACATATGTGAAATTACTCCAATAATCAATTTCAAAACATTCCCATCATTCAAAACCAAACAAAAAAACCCTGTAACATTTAGCTATCACCCGCTTTAAAACACTTCTTCCTAGATCGAAGCATTAATCTACTTTCCCTATATAAAGATTTCCCAATTCCAAACTTTTATATGAATGGAATCACATAGTATGTAAAACCTCTATTACTATTTCACCTAGTGTAATGTTTTCAAGGTTCATCCATGTTATAGTATGTATCAGTACTTTATTCTTTTTTATGATTGAGTTATATTTCATTAAATGTATACATCACATTTTGTTTATCTATTTCTCCACTGACAGGCATTTGGATTTGCTTCCAATTTAAAAAATTGTGGATATATAGTAGCTGTGTTTATTTCTGTATTAAAAATGAGTGGTTTATAGTGGATATATGTATATATTATGGGGTATATGAGATACTTTGATACAGGCACACAATGCATAATGTTTGCATCATGAAAAATTGGTTATCCATCTCCTCAAGCATTTATTCTTTGTGTTACAAACAATCCAATTATACTTTTATCTATTTTTAAATGTACAATAAAAATATAGAATGCTCCATGAATTTCCTGTCATCCTTGCACAGAGGCTATACTAATCTTCCTGTATCATTACAATTTTAGTATATGTGTTACCAAAGTGAGTAATTTTCACATTTTTGCTATTATGGATAATGCTGTTATAAAATTTGCATGCAAGATTCTGTATATGTAAATATGTGCCTTTTCTCAAGTATACATCCAGAAGTAAAATTGATGGTTTATAATGGAACTCTATACTTAATAATATTAAAATATAGAGTTAAACTGTTTTCTAAAGCATCTGTATTATTTTCAAATTCCTTTTAGCAGAATAGGAGTGTTTTCATTTTTCCACCTTATTGCCAACACTTGTTGTTATCTTACTTGTTTATTCTAGTAATCCTAATAAATATGAAGCAGTATCAAACTGTGAGTTTGATTTGCACTTCCCTGATCAATAATGACTTGGAGAATCTTTCTGAGTATTTAGGTTGTTGAGAAAAGGACTTGCTGCCTGATGCACACGGAAGCCAATACCATGGCACTAGGTTTTGAGAACAAAACCAAACCAAACAAAAAAGTTTTAGTCTATGCCCACCCCGCTTGAGATAAAAGACCAGATCAATTCTTACCTTCTTCCCCCTGTAAATTTCCTCGATATGCACAGTTGTCTCTTCATGATCATTCATGGGTTGCATCTGTAAATTTGGGGGGAGTTAATATGAAACAGGCAATGGAAATTTAGGCCGTGATGTCAACAGGTTTGTTCAGCACAAATCACAGTTGCTCATATCAGTTCTAATAGTTATCAGCCAGTTTTGTTAACTTATAAGCAGAGGGAGTATCAGCAAGCTGTTTCTTTTCACATGTGCTCTTCCTGTAAGCTCAGCAATTTCTATTAATGTTTTCTTTCATTCTTTGGAACATGGCTACACCTATTTACCGCCTGTATATGTCTTTTGAAGAGATGTCTATTCAGATCCTTTGCCTATTTTTTAATTGTGTTGTTTTTAGTTTTGAGTTGTATGATTATACATATGTATACATACACATATTATGATTTTCTTTTCAAACATGTGTTTGTAAGTATTTTTCCCATTCTCCGGGCTGACTTTTCACTTTCTTGATGATGCCCTGTGAAGTACAAAAGTTTTTAATTTTGATTAAGTCCAGTTTACCAACTTTTGTGTGTGTGAGTGGCTATTGCTTTTGGTGTCATATCTAAGAATCCTTTGCCAATCAAAGGTCAAAAAGATGTCCTCCTATGTTTTATTCTAAGAACTTTGTAATTTTTGGTTTTACATTTAGGTGTTGGATACATTTTGAGTTAATTTGTTTATACAGTTTAATGTAAGTATTCAACTTTTTTTGTTTCTTTAGGTCTCTTGCAATTCTACATGAACCAGCTTGTCAACTACCACAGAAAAGTTAGCTAAGATTCTCCTAGAAATTGCAGTAAATCTGCAGATAAGTTTGTGGAGCATTGCCATGTTAGCAATATTGGGCCTACTGATCCATGAACATGGGTATTTTTTCATTTATCTAGATTTTCTTTAGTTTCTTTAAACAATGCTCTGTAGTTTTAGAGCATACACTTTATATTTCTATTAAATTTATTCCCGGGTATATAATTTTTGATGCTATTATAATTAAAACTTGTAAAAATACATTTTAAAAATATTCACTGCAAGAGTATAGAAATGTAACTGATTTTTTGATATTGATACTGTATCCTACACCCATGCTAAACTCATTTATTAGTTTTAATTTTTTAACTATTACATATGAGTTTTATAGACATAATCACGTGATCTGTTAATATAGTTTCACTTCGTCCTTTCTTTTTTTCTTTTTTTGAGTAGGAGTTTCGCTCTTGTTACCCAGGCTGGAGTGCAATGGCGCGATCTCGGCTCACCACAACCTCTGCCTCCTGGGTTCAGACAATTCTCCTGCCTCAGCCTCCTGAGTAGCTGGGATTACAGGCACGCGCCACCATGCCCAGCTAATTTTTGTATTTTTAGTAGAGACGAGGTTTCACCATGTTGACCAGGATGGTCTCGAGGTGGGTGGATCACTAGGTCAAGAGATCGAGACCGTCGTTTCTTATATACATTTCTTTTTTTCTTGCCTAACTAGAATCTCTAGTACAATGCTAAATAAAGTAGCAAGAATAGACATCCTTGTCTTTTTCCTGGTTGTATTGGGAAGCATTCTGTCTTTTACGACTAAGTATGATGTTAGCTGTGGAGTTTTTGTAATTCCCTTCATCAGCATTAGGGACCAGAGAAGTTCCTTTATATTGTTATTTTTTAGTGTTTTTCTTATTGAAAGTTCCTAGGTTTTGTCAAATGCTCATTCTGAATTTATTGTGATGATAGCATGATTTTCATTTTTTATTCTTTTAATAAATTGTATTTCGATAATTCGTTTTTAGAAGGTCAGTCAACTTCCATCTTTAGAGTAAACCCCACATGGTTGGAGTATATAATTATTTTTATATATTTCTGGACTCAGTTTACTAGCACTTCATGCAGAATTTTTGCATATATCTTCATAATGATATTGGTTTAAAGATTTTCTTTTTTGTTGGTGATTTGTTTGTATTTCATTTTAAGGTCATATTGGCTTCATTAAATTAGTTGAAAAGTATTCTATTTTGGGAGGTGAATGGAAGAGAATAATTTGTAAACCATTTTCATGAATTATCTTTAAATATTTGGGAGACTTCGGTTAGTGAAGCCATCTAGGAATGGCCTTCTCCTTGTGGATAGGTTTTTGAATATGGATTCAGCCTGTTCACTTCTTATAGGTGTGTTTCTTCTTGAGACAAATTTGAGAGTTTGCTGTTTAGAGATTTGTCCATTACATCTAACTTATCCAGTTTCTTGGCATACAATTGTTCACAATTTATCTTCTTACTTAAAAAAAAATTGGTTATATCAATAGTAATGTCTCCTCTTTCATTTCTTATTCTAGTTATTTCACATTTCTCCATTTCTTTCTTGATAAATTTAAAGTTTTGTCAATGTTATTGATCTTTTCAAAGAACCAGCTTTTGTTTGCACTGATTTTCTTTGTTTTATATTCTTTACTTACCTTCTATTTTACTGTCATGTAGCAATCATTATTTACTTTATTCTTTGTATCTTAGGTTTAGATTGCTCTTCTGTTGATGTCATAAGTTGGAAAATTAAGTTATTGTTTTCTTTTTCTTAATATAGATATTTACAGCTATAATTTTCTTTCTAAACAATAATTTCACTAAAGTCTGCAAATACTGTGTTTTCATTTGTATCCTTCTCAATGTATTATAACTTCCCTTTTAAATGTTATTGGCTTGTTGGCTACTTGAGTGTGTGTCGTTTAATATTTACATATTTATAAATATATACTAATTTTCCCTGTTGATTTCTAATTTTCTGCTGTTGTGTTGGTGAACATATTCTCTATTATTTCTATCATTTTAAATGTATTCAGTTTTGTTTTATGGCATCGAATATGATGTATCTTCGAATAATGCTTTAATTGTATTTGAGAATAATCTATATTCTGTGTTGTTGGTGGAATGTGCTATGAATATCTGCTAGGCCTGGTTAGTTTATAGTGTTCCAAATCTTCTATTTAATTGTTAAATTTCTGATGATATACCATCTATTATTTACTGTGGAATATAGAAGTGTCCCACTATTATTGTTAAATTATCTATTTTTACCTTAATTTCTGTCAGCCTTTAATTGATATATTTTGGCATTATGTGTTTTGGTGCAGATATTTTTAAAACTGTTATACCTTTCTGATGGGTTGATTTATTATAAAATACACTCTTTATTTCTAGTAACTCATTTCCATTTTAATGTCTATTTTGTCTGATGTTAGCATATTCACATCAGCTTTCCAGTGGTTGTTGTTTGCCTGATAAATCTTTTCCATCCTTTTACTTTCAATCTATTTATGTTTTCTAATCTAAAATAAGTCTCCTGTATATAACATATAGTTGTATCACTTTGTAAAAATTAGGTCTTAAAATCTTTCTTATTTGATTGAAATATTTAATCTATCTGTAACAAGGTTACTGATATAGTTAGTCTTCTGTCTACTATTTTAAATTTTGCATTCTATGTTTCATGTCTTTTTTCATCTATTTAACTTTACAGGTTTATTTGGTGTTAAGTGAATATGTTTTAAAGTTGCATTTTGAATTTATTAATGCTTTGTACACCATTTTTTCAGGGGTGTATGTGTGTGTGTGCGTGCGCGCCTGTGTGTGTATGCATTTCTATGTTCCCTATAGTGTTTACCATATCCACTTTAACTTGTTAGGATATCAGATTCATACTAGCTTAACTCAGTATTATATGTAAACATTACTACTATAGATCACTTTCTCCCCATTAACATGGTATTATTGTTACATATAATGCTTTAATTAGTGTTACAAACCCAACAGTACATTCTTATTGTTACGACTGTAACATTTGTCATCTTTTTTTTTAACCCAATACAGCTTTTTGCCTACAAACCACTGCTGTGCTGTCGTTGACAAATATATAACACATATATTGCATGTCTATATGTAATATGTCTATTCTAAATCTATATGCAATACATTTTACACATATTATTTTATACAGTGTTTTTTTAATTAGTTAAGAACGTGAAGAATAAAATATGCACTTAGAGTGCCCTTTATAATTGTATAATTAACTTTATTAATATTCTTTGTTTATATAAATTATCATTATCACTTGTAGAACTTGCTTTCAACCTGAAGAATTTGTAAAATATGTCTTTAATGTAGATCAGTAAGAAATAATATATCTCAGTTTCTCTTTACTATTTCATGTGTTTATTTCACCTTCATTTTTGAAAGAGAGCTTTGATAAGTATAGGACACTTGATTGACAGTTTTTGCTGTTTTTTTTTCATTGAGTATTTTGAATATGTTAAAATAGTTTGCCTCCTGCCTTCTGTTAATTTTTCTGAAATGTCAGTTTTTATCCATATTGGGGATTTCTCGTAAATTACATGCCATTTTCTCTTGCTACTTTCAACAGCTTTTTTTTTCTTTTCTTTGACTTTCAGCACTTTTATTATGAAGTGTGTGGTTTTGTCTCTACTGTTTAAAG